TTGCAAAGCCCCCCCGTTTTTTTCCATATAAGGCAATATATTCACAGGATCCAGGGATAGGAAGTGGATATCTTTAGGGAGGCATTATTCCACCTACCATAATGGGAAAAGCACTGGATGATCCTTGAGATCATTCAAGCCAGTGGTACCTAACTGGAGGTGACTCTGATGTCCCGAGGGGATGATGGCAGTATCTGGAGACATTTTTTTGGTTGTCACAAGTTGGGAAAGGAATAGTACTAGACATCTAGTAAGTAAGAGGCCAGGGATGGCACTAAACATCTCATAATGCATAGGTCAGCCTCCTCCCCACAACAAAGAATTATCCAGGCCAAAATGGCAACAGTGATGAAGTTGAGAAACCCTGGCTTAAAGCATGTGATTCCTTGAAATCTTCTGAGCTACTAAGGTTGCAATGCAATGGAAGCCAGTTTCAGGATTTAGATTTATGTGGATAAGTTTGAGAAATCACAAGCAAGCTCTGTTTTGACAATCTGATATAGTAAATAAGAGATGAATAATATTACTCATGCTTTAATAGTAGGGTTTTGAATACTGCCTTAACTTGTTATTTGTTAAGTAGTGTTTGTTTTATTTTAGGTTTGGTATAATCTTTCATACTAATGTATTTCATATACACATAAATTATCTTTAAGGATGTATTATAAACATCATTTATGTATATTACAAATAAAACTCATAGATGCTCAGATTTAAAGTATCGAAGACCAAACAAATTTCAAGATGATCTACATTTTTGCCTTCATATGACTTGATATCTATCCCTTGCTTCAAAGGATCAGAGAAGTATACTTGCCATGACATCCTCATCTATCAGGAGAAAGACTTAAGTTAGAACCAATTTTCACTTATAGTAAGCACCCCAGCTATCAATACCTACTTTTCCAACTCTTAGGAATCTCTGTGCTCAGGTTTGAATTCTCCCAGTTTTTGTATGTATGCATGTATGTATGTATTTTAATGCTTATTTATTTTGAAAGACAGAGAGTGCAAGCAGAGGGAGGGGCAGAGAGAGGGGGAGAAAGAGAATCCTAAGCAGTCTCCATGTTATCAACACAAATCCCTAGTCGGGCTCAATCTCATAAACCATGAGGTCATGATCTGAGCTGAAATCAAGAAAGTCAGACATTTAACCAAGTGAGCCACCCAGGCACCCCTATCTCAGTCTTTTTTTTTTTTTTTTTAAATAAAAAGTGTTAATGTTTATTTATTTTTGAGAGAGAGGGGGAGAGAGAGTGTGTGTGAGTGGAGGGGGGGCAGAGAGAAAGGGAGACACACAGAGAGAGGAAGACACAGAATCTGAAGCAGGCTCCATGCTCTGAGCTGTCAGCACAGAGCCTAGTATCGGGCTTAAACCCATGCACCGTGAGATCATGACCTGAGCTGAAGTCGGATGCTTAACTAAGTCACCCAAGTGCCCCTTTCCCAGTTTTTTTTAAAGCAATCTATATTCTTTTCAACATTTTCCCCATCTTTCTTTTCCTTTCCATTCACTGCTCATTCTCTTTCTTTAATACTTTTTTCTGTCTAAGAGTGCCCCTAGAATTTTGTTAATTTGCAGCAACTTTTTTAAAAGCTTATTTATTTTCAGAAAGACAAAGAGAGTGCAAGCAGGGGAGAGGCAGAGAAAGAGAGATTCTCAAGCAGGCTCTGTGCTATCAGCACAGAACCCACATGGGGCTCCAGCTCACAAAACTGTAAGTCGAGATCAAGAGTCAGACACTTAACCGACTGAGCCACCCCGGTACCCCGATTTGCAGCAACTTCTAAAAACAGTAGTTATATCTTTTATGGCAGAAAAGGTTTACTAACCGGTAGGGAACTGTGGGTGTGCAAGCAGGCATGAGTGTGAATACTGTATCCATAAGGATGAGTTTCATCTTTATTTTTTCCCCCAGGAAGGATAGTATTAGACTATAAATATGAGAGTATTTTAACAGCTTGTAAATGAACAGAGCCAAATAAAGAAAAACACATAGTTATTCAGCAACTTTGTTTACCACTGACACTACTTCTATCATATACATTTCTCTGCCAAGATACAATTCCATAAGGTGTTTTACATTTGGTATGATTTCAAAGCTACAATGAAAAGATACATGTTAAACACGTCTTAATGAACTGAGATTTCCCAAACACTATTTTATTTCATTTTGTTTTATTTTTAATGTTAATTTATTTTTTATTTATTTTTATTTTTTTAAAATATTTTATTTATTTCTGAGAGAGAGAGAGAGACAGCATGAGCAGGGGAGGGTCAGAGAGAGAGGGAGACACAGAATCTGAAACAGGCTTCAGGTTCTGAACTAGCTGTCAGCACAGAGCCTAATGCGGGGCTCAAACCCACAAACCGTGAGATCATGACCTGAGCTGAAGTCGGACGTTTAACCGACTGAGCCACCCAGGCACCCCAATGTTAATTTATTTTTGAGAGAGAGAGTGAGCAGGGAAGGGGCAGAGAGAGAGGGAGACACAGAATCGGAAGCAGGCTCCAGGCTCTGAGCTGTCAGCACAGAACCTGATGCAGGGCGAGATCATGACCTGAGCTAGATTGAAGGCTCACCGACTGAGCCACCCAGGCACCTCCCCAAACACTATTTTTAAAAAAGCCAAAGCCCTATCCCTAAACAGTAAAGTCACATCTGAGATTCCAGATTCCATATAGCACACTGCTAATTGGGGTAGGTACCACTAGAGGAACCTGCCTAGATCTCTATGCCTACCTAGTTAAAAAATTCCATTTCTTCAAAAACAATTAAAAAAGAGAGAGAAACAGAGTGAGAAGGAGATAGTAAGTATGAAAGAGAACCTATAGATTAAGAGACTTAGAAGACATGTCAAGTGTATTAAGGACAGAGAAACTTGGAGACAATTCAAGGTCGATACATAAGTGGGAGTTTCTCAAAACAGGATAGGAATGAGCATATAATAAGAGAAAAATGGGGGATGAGCAGATGGTCACTTTGACAACTTGGGCACATACCAACTCTGGCACAGGGACCCTGGACATCTCCCAGCCAGGGTATCTGTGCAGCCATTTCCTGGAGAATAAAGAAACCTCTTAAGTTTCTAGAAAGCCCTTAGAGGGGCAAGTGCCTATTAGTATGTTGAGCAGTCAGTGACTGATGTCCCAGTCAGGCCTCCCTCCAGTCACCCCCATCATAACTCAGGTATCCCATCACTGCACATGAGATCCGGAATGTGGATCAAAACACATTCAAAAAGCAATATACAGAAGAGAAAAAGGCCAACATTCAGAACATTAGACTATCACCTAAAATCCCAAGATACTTTCTCATCATTATTTTGCAAAGGTCAATGCATAACAAAATCCAGATAAAACCATCTAATAGGAAATGGTTCAAAATAATTGGGACAGGTTATTTCTTGGAAGACATGGGGACATTAGAAAAGAGGTCTAGAATTTCCTGACAAAGGAGACAGGTGGTAAATACTGTGTTCATATCCCAGGTGGTCGCACCCAGCTACCAGCTTACTTCTCCTTGTCAAATGCTCTTCTCTTTTTCGCCACCCTCTAATTGATGTGACAGTTTATGACTCCACACACATTCTCAGTTCCCTTCTATGAGTTTTCTTTTCCTTCTACTCTAACTCTCGATGTCCTCTTAAGTTCAGTCCTTGTAGCTCATCTCCTTTGAAGAACCCAAATACCCTCCCAGGCTTCACCTATCACCCCTGGACAGATCCTAAATGTCCCACGAGAGATCTTCCTACACTCCATCTCTACCCTCCTGCTGTCTATACCCTCTTGTGCATCCCTGGCTTAGACCCGACCTGTCCAAATCCATATTAATCACATCTCTCCCTAAAACAAATGTACCTTTGAACTTCTCTATTTCTGTGCACCTTGCTATCATTCTCCTGAGTCCCATAGATTTTAAAACTTAGGATCATTTTCTTTTTTTAAAGTTTATTTATTTATTTAGAGAGAGAAGGCATGGGACGGATTGAGAGAGAGAGAGAGAAAAAAAATCTGCACCAATGGTCAGAGCCGGATGTGGGGCTCAAACTCACAAACCTTGAGATCACCACCAAAGCCAAAACCAAGAGTCAGATGCTTAACTCACTGAGCCACCCAGGTGCCCCAAAACTTGGCATTATTTTCAAATCATTCATATTCTTCATTTAGCAATACTATTCCACTGGTCATCCAATTCTCCCTTCCCGTTGTCACACAGCTTTCTCGTACCACTGCAGGCTGCTCCTCAAGGCACAACTGTATTACAGCAGCAGCCCCTACCTGCCTACCCTCTCTGGCTCATCACTTTTTACTCAACCCACCCAACCTAGCATTCCCAGAATCATCTTTCAGCTTTTGCCTTATTGAATGATCTTTCCTGGAACATATCCGTTTCTCCTTCATGACAGCATCAAGGCTAACGCGTGGATTTCCAAAGCTCTCCATAATGTGGCCCTAGCTATCAGGCCTATATATTCACTCCTTCTCAACAACATGATTTATTCCCATTGTTCTTTCTCCTTATTTGGAATTCCCTCGTCTGTACCTCCACTTCCAAACGTTAGTCCTGTTTCAAGGCCCTTCCCAAATCTGCCTTCTCCATCTAGCTTTACAGAGCACATGACACTCCCTTCTTAGTTCAGACCCCTCTGCTGACCTGCATCGAGAATTTACCATGATGATATGATGCTCACCTTTTCAATGTGTTGACTGTCTTTCTCCAACTACCGGGCAAGCTCCATAAAGCTAGAGATATAGTTCTCTATCACTCCTACCATACACTCCAGGGCTGAAAAGAGTAAATTCTTTTTTAGAATAAACTAGCTAATTAATCTACTACTTAGGTGCCATTTAGATTTTCCCTGACTATAAATAAATGATCTCTGATAAATACAAGTATAAACAAAGGAAATATAGAGATATTTTTCTATTAGCATTTGATTTTTAAATGTTAATATGTTACATATAAAACTATTAAATTTACAAACCATCTTCTTACCTGATTTTATGCAGTCTGATGACTTGCAAATACCATCTAGAAAAAGAAGGGTATGTGCATAAGTATTTGCAATACAGTTTTCTAATTTCTCCCTATCGTTTGTCCTTTTAAAAAAATGCCAGTTAAATGATCAATTCCTTAAAGCAAAAACTAAAACCTGAGTATTGTATATCATTGCCAATACTTAGAAAGAATATAGGGAAATAAAATAGGTAAATCCTAAGTTTAAAAATTTTATTATGAAATGAAGCACTTTCTTTTATCTCTACTCCCTAAGCCCTAGATCTATTAAACTGAAATAATCAGTTGTTTTAGTATGGTAATCTTTTTTTTTTCCCTATTAAGGAACCAATCTTTTCTAATCCTTATTGTGAAAACTTCTAAGACTCAAATTAGACCTCTTAGATTCCTGTGAAGCCCTTTAGAATTTCAATGACACAACAACTTTCGCTAATTGAAGTTGGCCATAAAATGGTGTACACTTTAATCAAATAAAATTATACACTAGAACCCTTATAAAATAAGCATGAGTGCACTAAATATACTTGGCAATTAATAACTTCGCTCTAACATAAAAGACATCGTACTTTTAGTCAGAGTTAATTGTTTCGACATATTGATGTTAACATTTTATGAAGGAATCTTTATACCGCCATCCTTAAGTGTCTCTCTTCCTTAACACAATCGTTTGGTAGACGAAAAAAGCATAAGATGAAGATTTCTCTCTCCTAAGCGTTTATGAGTGCCCAAGTGTGGGAGTAACTCACCATCGTAAGTTGCATAGAGTGCGATCATTGTCACAGCGATGATGGTAAGGAGCAGGACGAGGACGGACAGACTGACCTCCAGTGGGGTCCATCGTTGTTTCTTTGGCCTTGGGGTGTTGATATCAGTTATATCCATCTGACTTTCTGATTTGCCCATCACCTAAACTCTGGGAAAAAAAATTTTGTTAAGTCTTTAAATACTGCCCATAACAAATTAACAAACAGATACAAAGAAGAGAAAATATATGTACAATTTTCCAAATGCTAATGTGGCTAAATAAAAGTAAAAGGCTAGTTCATTTTAAGTAAGAAATCAAGTTCTGTTGTTGCTGAAGGTCAGAATTTTGATTCTGAAATCGAAGAGGAGAGAGCCAATGCATTTGACATGATCAGTCACAATTTTGTTTTTTGATATATCACTAAAGATCCAAACAAAAGTAGACAAGGCTCGGCTACATACTCACACAAGATTCCTAAGGCAGTTCATAAGCAAATAATTGCTGTACCATCATAAAGCAAAGTTTTAAACTCACCCTTCTGAACTTTGGACAACGTCAAAGGTGAATTTTATATCTTGCTCCAGTGGTTTCCCTTGTAAGCACGGAAATCAATGACTAATACTTTGAGGTTTTGACTAAGCAATAATTTGAAACATGAATACAGATAAAAACGAAAAGGAACAAACACTTGTGATAGCTTATTTTTAGTCATAAGAGCAACTTTTATTTTTACAGCTCACAATTACAGCTACTGCTGATGTGGGTATCTATTAACTGGTTAGACAACATTCTGAAAATGGTCACTTGGTGAGCCAAACGTCAGTGAGTGGTTTACAGCCAGAGATGAAAGTTATTAACCTAAACCAATGTTTCTTTGTATAATTGAAGAAGAAGAAAAATATATGAATTAAAAAACTCTACCTTGCAGGTCAGGGTAACAATGGTTAAGACACTTAACTCGTATTTAAATTAATGTTAATACTTCTAATAATAGCTGACATTTATTGAGCGCTTCCCATGTGTCAGTCACTAGTTCTTAGTGCTATACCTGTACTAATTATTTTAATCTTTGTAAGGTGGGTATTAATATTCCAATTATATACCTTAGGAAGCTGGGGCACAGAAAATTCAGGTAAAACTTCCTCAACTACACAACTAGTAAATGTTCTTTACAAAGAACACATTTAGTCCCTGACTGAAATAAAAATATATCCTATCATCACAAGATAAAAGCTATTTTAGATTTAACTGCAGAAATTTCTGGAAGGGGGAGAGGAATTAAGGGGATGTAAGCCTCTATATTAAATTTCATTATGTTTCTTTTAGAGGCCTCCTCGTGATTCCTTTTTTTATTTTTTTAATGTTTTATTTATTTTTGAGAGAGAGAGAGAGAGAGAGACAGCATAAGCAGGGGAGAGTCAGAGAGATAGAGGGAGACACAGAATCCAAAACAGGCTCATGGCTCTGACCTAGCTGCCAGCACAGAGCCTAACGCGGGGCTCGAACTCACAAACCATGAGATCATGACCTGAGCCGAAGTCGGACACTTAAGAGACTGAGCCACCCAGGCGCCCCGAGGCCTCGTGATTCTTTATTGACCATCCACCAAATCTCTGAATTCAATTTTTCTGCATGTCTATAGAAAAGGGCATCATAAACTAACGGATTAGCTGTTTAGAGCTTGATACAAATTAAGTGTATAATTTAGTTCCTAAATGAAGTGACTGCTCAGAAATACGCTTGTAGTTAAAGATTTTTGTTGAATACCCACAATTTGCCTGAGGTGTGTTTTGTGGAAACTGAGGCACAGGATAAAGCAGAAAATAGAGTCTACATTTGAAGTGTGGCCTGGGAGATCCCACTGATAACGAGGAATTTAATCTCCCCAGTGAGTTATTAATAAGTGAACCACAAGTGGACTTTAGAGTTCTGGATACAAAGTCTTAAGCATGCTGTCCTCTTGATTACATGAGGCTATAACCAAGGACAGACTATCAAATAAAAATATTTTATTAGACCATGAAAACCATGTCTGCTCAATAAAAATGGGATGTAATGTACCTGAATGCTAAAATGTCTTACTTAATGGTTATGTAACTCATGTTGGCTTAGTCTCACAGCCCCCGGGGTTATGATATGGAATTGCATTGATCTTGGCCCTTGGAGTTTTAATAGGGATGGTGATTGGGAAAAGAAAAGATGGGACCAAATTTAATACTTGGACATCATACAGAGAGGTAAACAATAAAATGAATAATTTTCTCGGTTTCCCCAGAAGAATTCAAGAGTGTCATAAAGAGCATTTGGATATTAATCACATTTGTCTTTCTTGAGCATTTGTCTTTCTGCTCTAATATTTCAGAAGGCAAACTAGTGAAATAATATGATCCTCTTCTCATTTTAGTTTTCTCTTAGAAACAACAGTTTCTCTAGTAAAACGTAGCGCCAGGAACTAGGGTAGCCACAGGGTTAAATTTAAGGTGCTCTTTGGAACCACCAGCCTTCCAACTTCAGGAAACTAGTAGGCAAGCATACCTTTCTCCCTTCTGGGTTACTTCTCCCTCACTTCTCCTCCTTACCCTTGAGACTGGGGTACAGAGGCAGCTGGGCTCTTAATGGTTTCTGTACCTAAGACTGTGGAAATTGTTATAGGGAAATAAAGGCAGTGGCTAAAGCTGTTAGCTCTTTTACCTGCATCAAAAGAATATCATCTTTGAATCACCTGCAAACTCTCCATCTGCCCCTCTTGTAAACACTCTGCAATTTTTTTTGTCTTTTGTTCCTAAGTAGCAATTTTGAACAGCACTGAGCAAAAGAAGAAATGATGCAAGTTTAACTTCCCAGTTAACTTTGCCATTCATTTCCAGATACCTTGGATTCACTGTTTTCTTGTAAGAAAACAGGGTTCAGAATCTTGAACATCAGGATGAATCACCAACCCCCAGACTGGAATATCTAAGTCAATTACACCAACCCCATTTTAGAGAAGGGAGGGAAGGGAGCGATTACACAAAAGATTACAAAAAAAATTATAAAGTTGATACTAATAGTTCCATATAAAGCAGGATATGCCAAAAATAAAATACCTACATGTATAAAATAGTACATCTCAATTGGAGATATGGTCAGAAAGTTTCAGCCAAAAATGAGACACTTCCACAAAAGAGAATAGAGAATTAGATCTCCTAATCTGTTAGAATTAGGAGATCTAACCCAACAAGGAATCTGCCCACTTCAGCTTGATAACATCACCAAAAGAATGATAATTTTCCTTAAGTAGAAACTGCATTCCAAAGCAATATAAAGCAGCAATTCTTACACCAGTTGAGAATAGAGTCAAATCAACTTACAGGGTAACTGCTTTGGTAAAGGGAAGTCTATAAACCAAAGCAATTTTCATCTTCACAGCACTTTACCACGTTAGTTTTTCTGCAAGTCCCTGAGGGTACATTATTAAAACAGTCTTGTGTCATGGAAACTGAGGCACAGGAAGGAGGAGAAACAGGTTCCATATTTAGGCTGTAGCTGCTGAGGCTGAAGAGGCAGGTACTCAAGAGAAATCATCTCCTTTTTTCCCAGGACATTCATGTATAGGTGTTCCCGGCGGTCTGGAATATGGAGTTCTGGACACAAAGTACCAACCACATCACTCCCAAATGCAGTGTAGCTACTCAACAAAGTCACAGCAGCCAGTTCAAGAAAGTACCTGCCAAATTTTTGTAAGTACTGGGGCCCAGAAATACTGCAAGCGAGTGAAGACTGCAAGCCTTCAAAGCCGGTCTGCCGATTGGCAGCTTTCAAATGCTGACACTGCAAGTCAGATACTACTTTCCAGTTTAATAAAATTACCATTTGCATCACCTATGGGGGAGGAACAGACTCGGTCGAGTGGCTTAAGAGGAACGTTTGGTTGCAATTACTCTATTTTCAAAGAACACAAATAGACTGACACCGATGAGGTAAAGAAACTTTCACCTACCTAAGAACTCCTCCCCCCCTCCACACACACACTCCCGCCAACCAACCCTCTGTGATTTAAACGCGCTATCGGCATAAATTATATAATAGGAAACTAGGGTTAAGGCAAGACGAAGAGCTAAGATAATACAAGAATATTCAGGTTAGCGAAAGTAAAATAGAGAAGGGAGTTACAAATGAAAAAATCCGATAGAAACCAAATTGAAAACAAGCCTAGCTTTAAAAAAAAAAAAAAAATCAGTGTATGTACAGCGGAATGGCAAATTCCCAGCCCCCAAATCAGCCCCTCTGCAATTTGGTAGCGCCAATCCCGGCATCCAGACATAACTCCCCGAGGCAGAGGCTGCAGCGAGCTATGGAAATGAACCTGAAGAGTCGACCCGACAACACTCACAGACCCCTCCAGCAGGTCACCCTCTTCGCCCCTTTCCCTCCCTCTTCGGGTCCTAGATGCGGCACTTCCCAGGGCACGCCTCCCTCGCCCACCGCCGCCGGGTCCCGGGCGCGGGACTGCGCCGGACCCAAGCCGCTGCCCCTGCTCCGTGCGCCTCCGGGGCGGCCGCTGCCCTCGGTCGGCGGTGCCCGCCCGGTGCCGCTCCCGCCGGCTCCCACCGGCCGCGCTCTCGAGCCCTTCGGACCCTTCTCCCCAGCTCCCAGGTGCGGGCTCACTCTCCCAGGACTCACCAGCGGGATTCGGGAGAAGTTGGAGGCTGCTGAGCAGACACATCCCGACCAATGAGCGCGCGGGGCCGGGCGTGGGGAGCCCCGCCGAGCGCCGGTCGGTCCGTGCGTCCGCCCCAGCGCGCCCCGAGCGGCGCGGGCTCCGGGCGGCGGGCGGAGGCGCCGAGCGGAGGCCGGACTCCCGGGGGATTCCGGCCCCGCGGCTGCCCGGGCCGGGGAGGGGGAGAGAGGGGGGGGGGACTGGGCATCCCTCGGACCCGCACCCGGAGGGACTCACCGTGGCTTCTCAGCAGATCCCGCTCCGGGAGTTGGGCAGCTGCTCCCGCCTGCGCGCGGTCAAGCTCAAGCTTCGCCACTTGCACATCTCCGCGCCCCGCGCGTCTCGGCGCTCTCACCACCCCCCTCCCCCGCCGCCGCCGCCGCAGGACGAGCGAGAGGAGCAGTTCCCTGGGTGACCTGAAGGTTTCCGATAGGTCTCCCGAACCCTGTCACATCATGTGTGGGGGCCGGGGTGTGCGTGCCTGCGAGAAAGCCCCTCCACCTCACCCTGCCCAAAAGGGCTTTGCCAAACATTCTTGGAATTGCTTAGCTTCGGGGCTTTCAAGAAAACAATGCATTGCCTCTTCGAGATTGTGAAGAAGGTTCTGTTGCTCTCCCTAGTCAACCTGAGACAAAATGATTCTCTTCTCATACTCTTCTTTCGCTCTCCTTCTCGCTCCTTGTCCTCCCTCCATTCAAGCTTCTTTCCTTTCCTATTTTTTGTTCTCTCCTTTCCTCTTTTTTGTTTCCTTTCTTTCTGGACCCTTCTCCCTTTTCCTTCTTCCTGTCTTTCTCCTCCTCTCTCTTTGCTTTCCCTCTCTTCTCTTCCTTTCTTTTTCTTGGTCAGACCAAAATGATGTCAAGAGCTATATTCTGTACTGAAACGCCCCACTCCCACCTCCTGACTCTTGGGAATCTAATGATGTATATAAGTATATATATATATATATATCCGAAGGCTTGGGGACGGGGAGTGAGAGTCACAGAAAAATAAGCTAAGGTATGTCTTCTCTGCCTTCTAAAATTAGCTATAATGTGTCTGTACCCTTGTCATTTTCATGGAGCCAAGTAGAACACCATTTTCATGTAAGACATGCAATTCCTCTAGGAAATTAAAAAAAGACAACAACTTTGCACTAAGGAGATTTCTTTATAAAACTACCTTCAGCAGCTCTAGGTGTCAAGGAGCTCAGAAGAACTAAATCTCCTCTATTCATGTGGTTTGGGGGTTTTGGTGTTTTGTTTTGCTTACATGATTTTTAGTTCAATTATTCAGTGCCAAGCACATATGAGTAGCTTCAAGTGTTCCTTTCCTTTTTCAAATCATGTCTAATTGCAAACACACACACACACACACACACACACACACACACACACACACCCTGAGGAAGTCATACTGAAATACAGGTGACTTTTCCTGAACTGGCAATTATCTGTTTTTAAAAACATCAAGTAACTGACAGATTTTACATTCTTTACATGGTAGAGCTGAAAGGCAAGGAGAAAAAGTACTACATCTAATGAAATAGTAAATGGGATACAATGTATAGACCTTTTTAAAAAGTTAAAATAATCATTAAATAACTAGATTAATATAATTGATCTAATAAATAGGCTTCAAAAAAACTCTATGCTTTACCCTTATCTGGTGCATGTGTTAGACACCACTTAATCATCACAACAACCCTAAAATATGGATATAATTGCCCCATAAATGATCATAAGGAACTTGGCCAAGTTAAAACCACCAGGAACTGTTTCAACTGGAATATGAACCCAGTTCTTTTTTTTTAAGATTTTTATTTTTAAGTAATCTCTACACCCAGTGTGGGGATCGGGAATCGAACTTACAAACCCCAGAATCAAGAGTCTCATGTTCTACTGACTGAGTCAGCCAAGAGCCCCTAAATCTAGTTCATTTTGATTCAAATGCTGAGTTACTGTTCTCCTCATTTTACAGAAAGGACTGAAGCATAGGTAGGTGATTTACTAAAATTCATGGTGTGAGGAATCTAGATCTTCTAACACTCCAGTGCTTAATTTTTATTACTTTCCAGCTAAATTATCAAAATGTTATTTCGACCTTACATAATCAACAGTGAACTAAAAGCAGTTAAAAAAGTCCTTTTTTTTTCCATGTAGCCAGTCCTCAGTTTCTTCATAGAGAGCCCAATGCATTAAAAATGTAATGTTTCTTCTGATTAACATAATAATGAATATTGGGGGGGTGCCTAGCCAAAATAATCCCCAAATTTGCATATCAAAAGAAAATGCAAGTTAAATTCATGTCTGATCTTAACATTTCCATTTAAACTTTTCAAGCTACATTTTGTTTTCCAATTTGCACAAAAAAATTTAAACAGAAAAAGGTTCTTTTGGAAGGTAAGAGAATGCTCTTGCAATTCAGGAACTTCTAATTACCAGTAGAAAATAAGACAGTCTGGTTTGTGTTTAGTGCCTCTAAACTTGTAGCTGAAAGTTGAAAATAAAGATAATTCATTTAAATTCTTTTAAAAATTAAAGATTTGTTGATGAAAACTTTTTGGGCTATTCAGTGATAACCATATATCATAGTTTTAGCTCTGTCTTCTTGCAAGAGGTAAAAACCCTGCAGGAAGCCAATTCAAAGATCTACTCCTGGTAGGGGTATTTTACGGGAAAAAAGAGTGGATAGAGAATATACAGAAAAATGAAAAAAGATATAGTTAAAATTGTTTTTAGAGTGTCTTTCAGCTGATAGTTAAGAGGGTGTGTTGCCCACAAGAAGTCTTAATCTCAATAAAGTTGACCAAAATTTAAGGATTTCATCAGGAATGCTAAATCTCTTCCTAGAAGGACGTTCAACAAGTTTGAGAAGATTTCTCTTAGAAGAGATCTAATAAAGAAAGAGTCCCCAGGTTAGGAAACTCAGAAAACCTGAGATTTACTGAGGTTGTACAAGGTCATACAATTTGGAGAGTTACAGAGATGGACCAGAAAGTAGTCCTCTTAGCTACTATGCATAAGGTATTAAGAGTAGAATGATGCATTGCTTCTGGTAAGTAACAGGGTAGATCCTTGAGGGCTGTCCGTGTACACAACACTAACAAATGCTTGATTCTGTATTTTTTAGAGGCCCTTTAAATGCACACTGAGCCAGCAAGAAAGTGAAGGAAAAGCCAAAATCAGAGTCGTGGATTCAGAAAGACTCGTAAGTACTCAAGATGGCGCTGCCGTGGGGCATCTACCTATCTGTAGGTCTCACCAAACCTACAGCTGCAATTTTAACAGGATTTGTAAGGACCAGGGACTTCTTAGAGAGCAAGGGGAAAAGTCAAGTCAGAGATTACTACGTAAAGCTGAGGCCACTGAACAGAAACATGGGCAGCTCAAAGGGGAACTAGCAAAAGAAAAAACAAACCTCAACCCCAATTCCCACTCTTACCCTCCTCTCTCTACCCCACACCTAAGTAAGTTGGCTTTCTTCAGCCTTGACTTAGGCAGGTGAATTTACACCCGGTGTTGTATGGAAGTGCCGAATCACCGAATTGTACAACTGAAAGTAATATTACACTGTATGCTAACTAACTGGAATTTGAAAAAAGCTAAAAAAAAAAAAAAAAAAAAAAGTCTGGGATAAAGAGATCAACTAAAATATTAGACAATAATGGTGTATAACTTGAGAGTTTAATTAGAGCTAAAGCACTCTACAGTGCTTATTTATGTTTTGGAAAGGAAGATAATCATAATGATTTTAGACTTTATTAAATTAATTATATATGTAGAAATTACTAGTGTAATTACTCAATGAGGAGAAATTGAGTGCATGAGGTCACATGTTGCAGAGAGGAAAAAAACCTAAAATTAATAAAAGGCAATCTGAAGGAAAATAAGAAAAGAAAAAAAGGAAATATTAGAAAAGACAAGAAGTACAAAAATAAGACAGTAGAAATAAATCTAAATGTATCAATTACAATAAATATAATGGACTTAATTCTCCAGTTACAGGACAAAGATTGTAATGTAATAAATAGACAAAATGCAGCTATCTTCTATTAAGGAGGCAAATCTAAAATATAAGAATATAGAATGGTTGAAAGCAAAATGATGAATAAACATATGTCTAATATTAACTGAAAGACAACTAGTATAGCAATAGTGTGATCAGATAAAATAGACTTCAATTTTACCAAAAAAAGAAAGTAATCAATTCAGCAAGGTAATACAATTCTAAATGATTACATCCAGTAGCATAAATTTTAAATAAATACTAAAAAAAAACAACTATAAAAATAAATTGATAATTTACTGTGATAGGATGAATTTTTTATTTTTTAAAAAAATTTTTAGTGTTTATGTATTTTTCAGAGAGAGAGAGAGACAGAGACAGAGCATGAGCAGAGGAGGGGTAGAGAGAGGAGACACAGAATCTGAAGCAGGTTCCAGGCTCGGAGCTGTTAGCACAGAGGCTGACGTGGGGCTCAATCTCACTAACTACAAAATCATAACCTGAGCTGAAGTTGGAAGCTCAACCCACTGAGCCACCCACGTGTCCCCATGATAAGGATGATTTTGATACACTTTTCTCAATATTTGATAAATCATGTGAACAAATTTGGAAGGACCCAGAAGATCTGAATAACAGTACTAACATGTCTTCTATAAGTATATTGAACGTTTCACCCAAGGATTGGAGAATACATACTTGTCCTTGACAAGAAATTTTATGGAAGCTGTGGGCTAGATTTTGGGCAAGGGAACTTCTATAGCAGTTTGTATTTTAAAAATGTTTTTAAATTTATTTTTGAGAGAGAGATAGAGACAGCATGAGCAAGAAAGGGTCAGAGAGAGAGGGAGACACAGAGTTCAAAGACAGGCTCCAGGCTCTGAGCTAGCTGTCAGCACAGAGCCCCATACGGGGCTCGAACCCACAAACTGTGAGATCATGACCTGAGCTGAAGTCGGATGCTCAACCTACTGAGCCACCCAGGCACCCCAGCAGTTTGTATATAAAGCCTGTTTCCCTTTTTTTTTTTTCTTTCTGTTGAGAATTACCTCCCTGAAGTTTGCATTTCAAGGAGATGGCCTGGATAAGAAGGTAAGAGTTAGTTTTATTTTGGCTTAAGGGAGAAGACCTTAAAAAAAAAATGATGTCGGGTTCTGAATATCAGCTTCTAGTTTGGCTGACAGTTAAAAAAATCCTTTTAAATATCTTTAGTTTCAGCTGGGAAAACAGTAAATATTTCTGGCAGTACTCAACAACCCCTTGGACTTAAGCATCCAAGAATTGACTGCGAAAGTTATTTTATTTTTCTCTTTTTATCAAGTACTACAGACAGAGATCTGGAAAAGCCAACTCTGGTGAGAATCCTCACCCTTAGCTGGCTTCTGCCCGTTTTCCTAGGATCTTATCCACACGCTACCAGTGGGGTTTAAAGCAGCGGGTTTAGCTCTGGTATCTACAAGAATTTGGCAAGGTTTTTTTCTTAAACTGTAATTTTAGTTTCCCTTAGCTGTTTAA